CTCTCTCTCTCTCTCTCTCTCTCTCTCTCTCTCTCTCTCTCTCTCTCTCTCTCTCTCTCTTTCTTTCTTCTTTCTTTCTCCAGGGATTGAACCCAGGGGCGCTTACCACTGAGCCATATCCCTAGCCATATCCCGTTTTATTTATTTTTTTTCTTTTGAGACAGGGTCTTGCTAAGTTGCTTAGGGCCTTGTTAAATTGCTGAGTTTGACTTTGAGCTTGTGATCTCCTGCCTCAACCTCTCAAGCCATGGATTATAGGTGTGCACCACCATGCATGGCTCTCTTCTTTATAAATAGTTTGTGATGCCATGTTGGTACCTCAAAACCCTATGTCAGGTCTCTGAACTAGACTTGATGTCCTGAGAGTGAGTATGCTAACTTAATTCTCAGAGAGACTTAGTATTTTCAAAGCAAGAAACTAATGTTTCTTCATGTCCATCTAGTCACATTTTGGAGAGAAGGGAAAGAGTGTTATTAGCACTGCCAAAGTCAAGACCCGCCGGGTAGCTGTCATAGCTCATATCTCTCAATGATCTGAACCCTCAGGCAGCTGTTTGTTGTAGATATTTCTACTGGGTACATTTTAGCAGCTATGGAGCAGAAATGAAAAATGTCCATGGCCATTTAAAAGATGTAAAGATTTAAAATACTCTCCTGAGTATTTTACAAAAGCATTGGAGTTATTCTGGCAAATAGTTGACTCTATAAAATCAGAAGCATCATTATTTCCCTCTCTTTTTAAAAATCTAGATTTTTCTTTAATCCTTCTGATATTGAGAAGTTTTGTTCTACAACATACCAGAGAAGAACAGGGGCTGAGAAAATGAGAGAAAAAAGTAAACGGTGTTTACCAAATGGATTTCCCCCCACCTACAGATAGCAACCTTCATGTAGGGAGCTAGAAATGACCCTTTTATAAAATTTAAGTAAAGAATTATTAAGGTCATATTTACTTCAAAAAGGTAAAATCACACTGTCTTGAGTAGAGAGTGATTATAAGTAGCAGTGATTGCCATTTAGAGGTATGGTAGTAGTGTCACTAGATTGAGTGACTAAAGTTGAGAGAAACTTTCAGATTAGAGATAAATTTAGAAGGCATAATTGATAGTCTTGGTGACTGGCTGTAAAACAAGAGCTGAGAAAAAAAAAAAGTGGTGTCCAGAAGGACTCCTAGGTTTCTGATTTTCAAAACCGTACTCTGGTATCACTGAAATAAGAAAAAATTTTTGTTGTTGTTGTTGTTGTTGTCTGTCTCTTGTTTGTTTGAGAAGAGGACAAGACCAAATAAATGGTGCATATGAAAATGATTTAAAACTTCAAAAAGTTATACAAGGAAAATTGGGGGACAATTTCCTTACTCAAATGAAGGACTGCAACGTATTTTAGAACGAAAGCCTTTCTGCTGCTATCAAGATGCTACTAGCATTCATGCTTTAGGTGTTCTTCCTTTCATAACAAAATAAACCATACCAGTTTTCCTTGGGCATCTTCTTCCATGAGGAATCCTATAAGTTCCAAGGATATAGCCATCCTTTGTCACAACATCATACTTTTCACAAGGATAACCCCAGTAAGAAATAATCTGGCTCTAGAACAGGGAAAGAAAAATACAAATTGTGATATAATCTCTTCCTTTTTTTGCACACATTGAAATATAATAGTATTTTAAGTTTCAACTTCATGTTCATCAATCTATATGTTGGGACAGTATATAGTGGGGAAAATTAGGATGATTTAGGGGTTTCTAGAAGGGATTGCAGGGTGGGATGACTCCACGTGCCAGTTTCTACATCCCAGACTGCTCAGGACAGTAAGTATGTAGTTATGCCTGTTGGCCTAGAATTATTAATACACACCAGTTAATTCTCAAAATGTTCTGATACAAATTTGTGTGGCCATCTAATGAATGAGACCACAGGATTGTGCAGTACCTTGTTGCTGATAATTGAGCAGAAAGGGCAACATTGAAGGAGATAGCTAGTTGAATTTGATTTTCACGGGGTTGAAGGTAGGGCAGTAAAAATACCTGACCTCATTCTCCCCTTTTTTATATATCTTGTGCTTGAGATTTTCATTGGCAAAATGGATCTGAAAATCAAAGATGAAGGGAGCTTTTCAACCTAGTCCTTATAGATCAGCCTCTTGGGCAGAGAGAAAGGTATTAAAGAACTAAGTTTGTTAGAGGGTCAGTAGGAGATGCCCCAACCACAGGTACACAAGGAAGAGGGTGCTGTGAGATATCTTCTGCATAGAGCTTTCTATGCCCTGTCTCATTAATCCTTACAAGAGACCTTTCAGATAGAATTGTACCGATTTTTCAGCTGAGAAATGTGAAGTTCAGGAAGATTAGTGATTTGTCCAAGATTATAAACTAGGAAAAGATAAAAACAAGATTGATTACAGAAAAAAAAAATTTCAATTTCTTATAATAAAACCATGCATTTGCCTCTATCAGCACATAGATGTGTGCGTAATTTATAAGGCTATCTAAAATAGAGGTTAAGAACCCAGATTCTGAAGAGAGACTATCTACCACTGAATTCCTGCTCTGCTTCTTATTAGCTGTTACTCTAGGAAAGTTACTTAATCTTTCTGTGCTCATTTTACTGTTGAGATAATAATAGTATCTCCTCACACATATGTTGTGAGGATTATCTGTAATAGATGTAAGACAGTGTCTGGAACAAAGAAAGTTTTTTAAAAAAAAAAATGTTTGTTATTTTTACAATCATTATAAAAGGATGAAAAGCCAAAAAGCACTCAGACTAGCAAGGAAAAATTGTGCTTTACTGTGGGAGGAAGAGGAAAACTTGAATTTGAGGACATACATTCATGGACTGTGAGTTCGGCAGTGTGGTAGGAGGTCTAGGAAGCCACCATTAGATGGTAACTCAAACCACCAGGAGAGAGAATATTGCTGCTCCAATTTAGGTCACAACTCCTGGATTAGTTAGCCATGCCAAGGAACGCAGGAGAAAGCACAGATTTAGGCACTGGAAGAATTGCTGAAAACCAGACCATCACACCAATTGTAACTAAAATGATGACTAATTAATAATTCCTATCTTAATGGGCTTTTTCAATGCGTGACTTACAATATTCATATTAGCTTCAGGATTTGTGATGCTTCCTTTCTTACAACCATATATAGGTCCAAGGAGAAGCACCCAGCATGCTGTTGCTAAAAGCTGCCACATTTGGAATATGCCTGGGAAAGGAAATATTAACGGATTTGTCATCAAAGAGAAATTCTGCAAAATGAAATCTGGTGTATTCTTTTTATAATACTGTTTTATTTACACTACGATGGGAGAGAACAAAAAACATATACTTCTATGTTATATTCTGTATGTTAGCAAGTAACATACAGAATTATTCAGAAATCATTCCATGAAAAATTTTGTATGGAAGAAAGGAAGGAGCTGATAACATCTTTAATTCAGGGTTATATCTATTGGAAAAATAATGGGGACATTTTTAAAAGTCAGACTTCTCTCTCAGAGCATTGACAATTACATGTCCTGGTTTCTGCTGAATGATTGGCATTTTGAGGCTTTGGAATCAGTTATTGGCCAGATGATCTTGGTGTCCCTGGGGTGGAGCAGATCCTGCTCTCTTCTGAAATCTCCAAGTTAGAGAGCATGTGAGGACTTGTAATGGTGCAAGGGAAGAGGACTATGTAACTAGCACAGTATGCTGCTTGTAGGAAGAGCTGGAATCTCCCAGGGTGGCACCAGAAGGAACAGGTTGTTTTTTGTAGCCATGACTTAGAGCCCAAAAGCTACCTTTGTTTCAGTCTTCCAGGTAATGGGGCTGGATATAAAAGGGTGACACACCCAAGCCAGAGAAGTCTCCATGTGTCTCATTTTGTAAGGAGGAGCAAGCCAAATCCAAAGAGCTTCTTTTCAGGCACCTCTTAACAGGGTGTGCTTCCCTGCTTGGCCCAATCTAAGACTTATATTATTAACCATAATTGTTGGGTAAGTCTGCCTGATTGCGGTACCTCTCCTTAATGATAACTCCAAGAGTCCTCATTTCTTTGACCTGTTTCTATGACAGTTCTCTGATGAATATTGTCTTCTTCTGTGTCCCATGTTGACATAATGCTTGTTCTCACTAACATCTATAATGATATTACACTAAGAAAAAGAGGAGATATTATAATTTCCAGAAGATTTTCAGTTTTTAAAGATGAGACTATTGGTCTCAGATACCCACATTAAATCAATATAGGTTAACATAAATATAATCAATAATAGATATGTTGATCTATCACTCTAAATCAGCTTCACACTGCTGTTCTGTAAAACATGTCTCCAGTGGGTATTTGTAAAAAGGCTTCATGTGTAATTTTAAGTGAAACTATATACAATTAATACAATTAACATATATTAATCTATGTTTGTATGTATATATTACAAATATGACTTTATTAGAGAGTCATATATAAATGCTATAAGTATGACTTACAATTTTATTTGCTGTTATGATTTTATTGCTTGAATAACACCAACTAAACATATTATGACCTAGATTATCTAGGTCATAATATGTTTAATTACAATTTTGATATTTGTTTATTTCTCTACTCACTATACCACATACACACAGAAATATATGTAATTCAGGGAAAGCTAAAAAAAGATGCAAATAGCTCCAACTCAGAACCTTGTCTTTCAAAAGTTTCTTCAGGAAGATACTGTCCATGACCATGGATAGAGCTGCTACAGTCTTACCCAGATTTGGTTGCAAATGATAATATCAGGATATGGCTGTATGTATTTTCCCCTAGCTATTGAAGTCAGGGGTAACTATAAAACTTTCAAAACAATATTGTCTTATTGCATTTTTGGTTTCAAACTAAGTTTAAATATTTCACATCAAATGCTTGTGGCTTATATATAGGCAGCACCCATAAGTAATGCATTTTACATTGACATTTATATTGATGATAATATCAAGGATACCAATTTCTCAACAAAGATTATCAGAAATAATAGAGATCTTCATTCCACACTTCTCATTGCCCCATATTAGGAACTGTCAGGTTCATCAAGCAGACATTCAACCAGAATTTATACCCATGCTTAGATAGTATATGTGATTAATCCACATCCTAATTCTCCACTATGGTCAGAAATGAGGGAGAGAGATGGCTAGAATATGCAGGTACAAGCACCCTACAGGGAGCTCTAATGTGCTTTGGTTGGGAAAGGACATGAAGGCCAGTGTTTACATATGACTCTCTGATGAATCTGTTTGCTCAGTGGCAACATAATGGAAATAATGAGTGGTTTTTGAAAAGTTTGGAGTTGAAATTCTGGTTCTGTCCTTCAGAGATTAAGTTAGTCATGAAAATATTGCTCTCAGATCCTTAACTGCAGGAAGCAGAACTGGACGTTACCCACAGCTCCTCTTCTCTCAAACCTATCACTTCTTCCACCAAAGCCACACACTGGAGACACTTTACAAGTATTGGCAATTACAGTTGTTGTTATTATTATTAGTCAGGAGACTATCATTAGTCAATTTAACTTCCCTTGAAACTTAATTTCCTTATCTGTATCACTGTGATAGTATCACCTACCTATGGGGTTATCTCCAAATAATAAATAATGACACAGCGAATAAGATGACAACGTCTATAAAACATCTATGATACTTGACTCTGAATAAATGGTAGCTATTGTTATAACATATCTTGTATTATTTTAATAATGTTTGGCTCTGAATAATGGTGGCTATTGTTATATCTATCACTCAGTGATTCTTTCAGATGTGTATGTCTTGCTCTCCACCTCTGTCACAGGCTTCTTTAAAGACAAGAACCACCTTCTATACTTTGCTTGCATTCATATTGTTCTTATCATTTGTGTCTCTAGCCTTCTTCATACAGCTTTATCTTAACACAATTCTTTCAATTGAATTGTGAAAAATGACAGCATATTTTGTATCAACACTTCTCAGATATGAACATGTAAGAGAAGTTAAGAATTTGTTTTCATTACTTTGATCAATAATTTTCAATTTTGACTACATAGAATGCCCTACCTACTTAATCTATAATTTTTATACCATGGTTTGAGCATATACATGTTTAATCTTTGTAATTATTATTTTTCCACAGATAGTAAATGTCAATTTAAAATTTTGGCAGGATCAATTTTACTTATTTTTTAACTCATTCTTACTCCCTCTAATAAAATTATTCTCAATAAATTAATTTATAGGAAATTCTTCAAAGTATTCTGCAAATAGACATCATAAAGCTCGGGCACAGTATAACTCATTAGAAAATTAAAACAGAGTAGCAGTTTTGTCTTAACAGATTTTAGTATTGAATTCTTATTCCTGACAAAATAGAAAATGAATTAGAGCCCAGAAATATGACAATATCTTTTGTATGCAGGTTACTTGCCAAGAAAATAAAAGAAATTTAAAACAAAAGCCAAAGACTATACTTTCAGGGATCATTTCCATAGTTGATCACTAAAACAAAGTCAATGCAAACATGACCAATAAAATGTGAGTAAAATGTGTGACACTTTCACAGCCCAAGGAAGTTATGAAAATTATGCATATATGTATTTATATATGCAATATAAATTATATATTTATAATCAAGTACAAAATTGTAAAAGGAAGCCAAGTGTAATATCAATAACAGCCATGATCATATCTCTTGTCATCAGTGACAGCAAACATTTTTGTTTCATCTTTTCTTGATCAGTCTGTTCAAAAAGATTGAAATAAGAACTCTCTATCCATAGGAAGAGAGTAGGTGGGAGGTAGAAAACATGTAGTAGATAATTGTTTGGAGAAAAGGATAAAAGATCCATTATTATTTATAAGGATAAAACATCCAATATGATTTATATGAATGTAGAGGCAAAGCAACTAGTGAAAGAGCCTCCTCTCCACCCTGAAGAGAGAAAAGTTAGAAAGAGGTGGAGGGAAGGAAGAAAGGAAAAGGTAATGAAGGAAAAAAGTGAGGGGAAGGGAGGAAGGGAGGAAGGAAGGGAGGAATTATACAGAAAACAACAAAAGTGTACATAATTGTAAAAGGCCATCGGGTGCTATTGTTTTATTTAACTTCCTGACCTAATTATCTATGTTTGAGCCATTCCCCGTGTCTAGTTGTTGGTGAATAATACTCCCAGTAGACACAAAATGCACTTGAATTATTATTTCTCTGTATTTCTGAGATGTTAGCCATAAGCTTATGGCATCATACATTCAGCTTATTTTTCATTCTGTTTATCATATCACAAAGTATTTTCCCAGCTGTGCAAAGAGTGGGTGGAGTTTATTATCCTCTTCTTGACCATAATGTAGAATTAGAAGTTCCTGGGAATGGTGACAGAGCTTAGAGGAAGACTAAAAGGCAGATATGAAGACCTACAGCTTGAGCCTTCCTTTTCCTATCATGGGGCCAAAATGTCATGCCGCCCTGAACAGCCTACCTAATAAGGCTGTTGCAGGTTTTGAAAGACCTCGTTAAAAGGTAGCCTATTTAACTCATGAACAATTACAAAATCCAGGAATCTAAGGCAGGATGCATCTTCATTTTTAGGAAGACATAAGAGCAGGTGGATGCCTTTGCTGCGTTTCCAAATTCATACCAGTGGAGTTAAAAACCACGCCTGACCTCTCCTTTGATGTCCCTTGAATGAATATATCTGGAAGCCCTTAAAAAATAATGGAAGCAGGTAGAAGGACATTCCAAAGGAATCTGGTATTCACAAGCAGGTACTTCACAGAGGCTTTGAGAATTTGTTCTTGAGTTTATTATTTAAAGAAACTAGCTGACAAAACAGATAAATCCCCAGGTCTCACAGGTGGAATCTCTCCTGCTGTCTCCTGGTTACCTGCCCCTTCCTGTGCTTCCCAGGTTTGACTCCCAGCTCCGTCATTTGCCAGCCACACCCACATATCTCCACCTGTTCCCCACCTGGCAGCATGATGTGTTCTGTCCACCGAGCACTCTTCACCCCCAAACTCATTCCCTCAAGTAGCTCTCACTAACCACAGGCTTTCATACATTTTCTAGATGAAAAGTAAATACAAGTCCGTGAGACCTACCTTGTAGGTCATCTGGGCTCTTATCCCATATTTCCTTGAACCAAATCCACTTAAATTTCTTTTTGGAAACTTTAATACAACACACCCCTGAATAAAACCACCCTCTTTTCCTCTTTCCAGAC